TGGGCAGATTTGACAGAGGATCATGTAATAATAAGAGTTAAGGTGAAAAATGTAAGAAAGAGTTTGGACATTTGATAACTTTTAGAAGCATCCTATACATCTATTATAACACATTTAAATAAGTCGATTTATAGTTCGATTTTCTGAATTATTAAGAGCTGAATCTTGTTTGATAAAAATAAAAGTCCGCCCCTTGATGGTTTCAAAACCTTCTGAACGATTTTGCATCTTGGACCTCCTAAACCATTCAGTGCCTAAATTTCATGCTGCACAATTACCAAACAATTATATTTCATTTTACATTATATTATAAGAACCTCTTATTCATTCGGATCACTTAATCATCCTGTACAAAACTATTTAGTTACTATCAAACAACTCATAAGGGTATCAGTAACAAATGTTTTAAATTTTTTTTAAAATGGAGGATCAAAATTAAAAATCTTCAAAAATAATTACATTTAACTCTAACAACTTCTAAATTTTGGAGATCACAATATTGATTATGTGATTAAAATATTTGATACATTTAATAGAATATTATTTCTATCTCCAAAACATTTAATCTCAGTTAGTTGGAATATAATAATAAAAAGTTGGATTTCTTTGTCTCTCTTTCCCTCCCTCCCTCTATTTTGGAGAATGGTTTTAGAGAATCTTTGGTAGCAAAAAACTTGCTCAGAACTCTAAAATCTCCATTTTAGAGAATGTGTTGGAGTGATTTTAAGTGATATCTCTTGTTGACGAATATTTTGAAGTGTTATTTGTCGTTTTAATCTAAATGCATAAACATGGTTTTATTTTCTAAATGTTAAAACGATGCAGGACTCGTTAAGAATTCAAGTACGTTTCAGAGAAATTAAGGAGAAAGGAAAAATATGCTAGGATTTAACAAGGTTCCGCAAAGATACCTTCCAACAATGTTAGAGATCTTCAATATTAATAAAGCAAGAAGAGGAATAAGTTCTTTTATCAAAATGGGACATATTAGTGAAAAGAATATCAGACATTCTAATCGTGGAACAGGGACGCCTTATCATGATGAAACCAGTTAATCTTGATACAAGATTTTAAATCATGTGCGATCTCAATAGGTTCTGTATCCCAAAATTATGTTGTATGTTTGACTCTTTCTACTGAATCACCTTTACTTCTCCCAGGAACAAGTTCGACTTTTAAGTAAGCATGTGCTTTTATGGAAAATGAAATGGTAGCGTATGTTGACTTCCACTTCCACCATGAGGTATGCCTCAATGAATTGAAGGATATATATACATAGCATATGCATATGTCATCGTAAGTCTCCTTGGGAGTTCCATCAAACAAATCTTCATTTTCCCAACCCATTACATCCTCGATAGTAATTACATCAGACTTGCTGGCAAAAATCCCAGCAACTTTAATGCATATTAAGAATCCACTGAATTCATTGTACCAATTCCTTGGAAGCTCTAACATTAATCTTCTCCTTGCAAAGTCTCTTGTTGGAATGTTTTCGGCATCAAAAAAGAGACTGATGGAGTTATCTTTTCCCTATCATGATGAATATTATTTTGTTTCAGTCTACCTATACAAATTAATTAATATTGAAATTCAACAWSAAGATATAAAGAGTCATACCTGAAGCATCGATTGTACTTTTCTRTGAACATCACCYGATATACTCTTCATTRAAAATGAGATTCTCCACAACCATTTAAGATTTATTGGAAGATCTACAATTTTAAGCTTGTTGCACCCATATGCTCGGAGAACAGCTATGCTTGATGGGAGATCYGGTAATTCTACAAGGTTACAACAAAATGAYARGTCGAGGAATTTTAGACCACGAAGTYGCAAGAGGCTACTGCAACRCAATCGTGAWAAATTATTTTCTTGTAGGTCTAATACTAGTAGGTTGGATAATTCGCAAAGAATAGCTGAGATGTCTCCACTTATTAAATTGCACGAACCAAGACCCAACCTTCTCWAGGAAGGTGGAAAMCCAAGAAATTTCATGCTTGCGATGCYTGGTTGAAGATTCTTGAARGATGTATTATATAAATTAAGCACCTCTAAACAACCTTTTAGATCAAAGAGGCCCTCTGCTGGTATCTTAAGCTCTCTACAACCTTGGATATGAAACTCTTTCAAATGTTTTAAGCTATGGAAGTTGCCTTCAATACTCTTTAGACTTTCGCAACATAGCAAATCAAGAGAAAGAAGGTTGGTACAATATTTTCCGATTGACGAGGGAACAACTTTTATTCTAGTTCCCACCAAAGATAGCTCTACCATGTTATCCATGTTCATTTAGATCTCTGGGAACATGCAAAGTTGAGAGCACCAAGAGAAAACAAGAGTCTCCAACTTTTTCATCCCTCTAATGGGTGGAAACATTTTAAGGCTCGTACAATATGACATGTCCACGGAAATAATCCTTTCATGATATCCAATTGATGGATGAACATCTGTTAACTTGCGACAAGTGTTGAGTATTATTCTTTCAAGACGTGGAAGTCCGTGAAAATTTGGTGTCCTAATAAGGTTTAGGCAACCAGTGAGGTCGAGCACTTTCAAATTTGGTAGATGTTGTCGTATACAATTACACACAAGTCAACAATGGCAAAATATATTTTAGTAGCATAGAGTGTTTAGAAGCTAGGATACAGAAAGATAGAAAGAAAGTAACATAAATTAAATATATTATTCCAAAAACAAATAAAAATGGGCCATGTATCATTCAAATGTAACTTCAAAACTAAGAATTCAATGCCTGTCGACTCTTAACATTTAGTTCTTCTAGGAAATTTTAAACTAAATTAGATTTAAAATCGAACACAAATAACATTCATATGTAAAAAGGGTCACACTTAGCTACTTATATATTCTAATCACGTTAACATCATATTCTACCCCCTTCATATAAGTAAATAGAATATATTCTATAAATTACTCATATTTATAATTTATCATCCACTTAATGAGAAAAACAAAAAGAGTTACCTTTTCACCCTCCCAAAGTTGCTCTAGAAAGAATGAATCCAATTGTAGATAAGAAAGCTTAGTTGGTTGAAAATTTCTTGGCAATGAAGTTGCTGGATATCCAAAGCAAGAAATCCATCGAAGTTCCTTCATGTTTGCAACAGCATGAGGAAAACTACATGGAACCTCCCCCCATGTCCTACGTTCCAGTTCCCACGTACCCCGAACTTCTAATGCTTCAATCCAGTGATTTTCCTGTGATAGAGGAACAAAATGGTGTTAGGGTTGATTTAAAGTATTATCTTTATGGTATACATATATGCATATATAATTTATATACATAGCTAGATTAAACATTACGGTCCTTGCCTCTTCTAGCAGAGAACATATCGTTACAACATCTTCCCGCCGCCAAACCCTGCTGTGTTTTTCAGGATTTTGGGGGTCTTTCTCTCGAACGACGCGGTGTCCCATTTCTTGTATCAGATCATGCATATCAAACCTTCCTTCTTCTGTCACAGTTATAAGAGCCTTTTGTATTAGTTCTTTTACTCCTATATCTGGGTGTAAACCACAAGCTTTAAGTATCACCATTGCCTCAACTTTCTCTTCTCTCCTAAGAAAACATGCAATTTCTAGGAACAACTCTTTCACAAGGGGTTCAAGTCCATCATAGCTAATTTTTAGTTGTTCCACAATTTTACCATATGGGATATCTTTTAGTCTGGTCAAGGCGCTCACCCACTCACTCCCGTCTTTGTCACAAAGAAACAAACCCATAACTTTAAGTGCTAACGAGAGCCCACCAGCATAAGAAACAACCTCTTTCGAAAGACTATCAAAATCTTCTATGCGGTTATCATGCCCGAGTGCATGCTTGCTAAATAGCTTCATGGCCTCATCATCATTTAACAAGCTAATATCGTATATCACATTTACTTTGCGAACTTTCAATAAATGTTGATCTCTAGTTGTGATTATAATTCTGCTTCCTTCATTAAACYAATCATGTGAAGCCAACGCCTTTAGCWGGTTAGCATCATCRACATCATCAAGAACCAACAAGACCTTTTTACGACGAAGCCTACTCTTTATCAACTTTCTTACATCTCCAACTAAATCCTCTTTTTTTTGCCTCAAAGTACGTGAGAGAATTTCTTTTTGCAATTCCTCCAAACCATGCTTGCGTGATTCTTCCCGAATGTTTTTCACAAAGCAACAACCATCAAACTTACTAGATATTTCATCATAAATAGCATATGCAAGAGTAGTCTTACCACCACCACCAAGCCCCCATATTCCAACCATCAGCACACCTTGTGAATCAATTGCTAACTTTGATTTCAAATCTTGTAGGCGATTCTCCATTCCAATCAGGTCTTCATTGTCGCTTGGAATTGCTATACACAATCTTTCTACAATTTCTTTAACAATGTTTTTGATGAATATTGTCTCGGGCGTGGACATTGGATATACAAAAATAAATAATAGATGCTCCAATTAGAGTTTTTACTTGATTTTTTCTACTTTGTATGGATGGGTTGTAGTTGTACATTCTCTAGAAATATGGGATTAATATGAAAGGTTTGGCTTTAATTATCCTTTGGAAGCTTATATGATGCAAGTATAATTGTCTTGTAAAGTACAAACACCTTAAGCATTAATTATATTTTTAGAATGAAAAAAAATAAGATTACCCATAAGGGACATGTCCAGATAGGTGCCCTGCTTCCGTAAGTGCTTTTCTCCAAGATTCAACGTTTTTCTTCTCTGACTCGTGTGTGGAAAATGCTTCTCCATATTTCCTTTTTTGATTTCGAATTTCYGAGGGATCAACATGATAAAATATGGGAATAACAATTTGGTCTCTCTCAACCTTGCATTTCATAATATGTTCAAGTTCTTGCAAGCACCAAGAAGAATGGGCATAGTTTTCAGAGAATACAACGATAGCAATATGTGAGTCTTCAATAGCCTTCAAAAGTGATGGACGGATGGATGTGAATTGATGATATGATAGTACGAAGAGGTTGAAGAAGAGAGATGGATGTGAAATTGATGATATGATAGTACGAAGAGGTTGAAGAAGAGAGATGGANTGATATGATAGTACGAAGAGGTTGAAGAAGAGAGATGGATGTGAAATTGATGATATGATAGTACGAAGAGGTTGAAGAAGAGAGATGGATGTGAATTGATGATATGAGATGTGAGACTACGCGTTTGCTCCACCACATTTTAGAGGAAATTTCCTGCAGCTTGTCTATTAATTTAAACACGATTCGTTTGCAGCCCCACCACATTTTAAAGGTCTAACAAAGGAGACACGGAATAAATTCCACGGAAAATTAAATAAATGAATTTGAAATTCAATAAATTAATAAAATATAAACACTAATTGATTCAGAATTAAATAAATTAATTCCTCAAGTGAAGAAAATCAATCACGATATCTCATATTAATTGATCCATCAAACAAGGAGAAGCCTTTGCATTTTTCCCGTTTTCATATTGCAACAAACTTTCAAGATAATCCTCTTTTACGTATATACGTAAATAACAGATAAATAATTCACCGATTCACAAAATGGAAAGCATACATTAAAGAAACAAAATCGAATCAATGCCCAAATCCCTAAATTAGGCAATCACGAAATCAGGATTCGCAATAATTAAAGAAACGGGTCCGAACATCTTTCTGCGATTATATTGAATATGGTAGTGGAAAGTGAATGTAGAGCTTCATTAAAGAAGATACTGTAAATCCAAGTTTACCCGTTTTGCGTTTTCATACAACCCACAACCAACATATCCCTCCATAAGTGTCCTCAGAATGTGCTTAGGTTGTTCTTTTGATTAATCCAATTCTCTATGAACTACAGAAAGGATCACCAATTAGCTTGATTTAAAAGTGTCCGCGTGCGTTACAACAAAATTGATTTTAATGGACGTCTAAAATATAAAAACATCCTCAAAAAATACTTTATAGGAGTGTTTATAGGACCAAACCAAAAGGCGTCCCTCTAAAAAGTGTTACAATAGGTTTATAAAACATTTTTAGACGTTTTAACAAAAAAATTATAACACTTTTAAAATAAAGTGTCATATTTTACTATTTTATACGACACTTTTTCCTATAAACAGAAGTGTCCTATAAATAGGTAGTTCATGGTACACTTCTCAAAAGTGTTATATAAAATGGCTAATAAGACACTTTATTCTAAAAACATCCTATAAACCTATTGTAACGTATTTAAATAAGACGTTTTGTAGTTCGGTTCTCTGAATCACTAAGAGATGAATCTTGTTTGGTAAAAATAAAAGTCTGCCTCTTGATGGTTACAAAATCCTTTGAATAATTTTGCATCTTGGACCTCCTTAACTATCCAATGCCATAATTTCATGTTGAACGATTACCAAACAATATATTTCATTTTGCATTTATATCATAAGAAACTCTTAATCACTTGGACCACTTAATCATTTCGTACAAAACCATTCAACAACTGTCAAACAGTCCTAACAGATGTTTTCAATTTTCTTTAGAATGGAGGATCGAAATTCAAAATCTTAATATTCAAGTCTAATAGCTTCTAAACATTTAATCTCATTTAGGATTTCTTTGTCTCTCTCTCCTACTTTAGAAAAAGGTTTTTATAGAACATTTGGAAGCAAAAACTTGCTCAAAATCCCTAAAATCTCCATTTTAGAAAATGTGTTTGAGATGATTTTAGGTGGTGTTTTTTATCAGGTCTCCTCGAAAAAAGAAAAACAAATAAACCTAAATGCAGAAACATGGTTTTGTTATCTAAATGAATGTTAAAACGATGCAAAACACGTTAAGAAATGATGTAGGTTTCAGAGAAATTAAGGAGAAAGGGAAAAAATGCTAAGATTTAACAAGGTTCTGCAAAGATGCATAGCCTTCCAGCAAAGTTAGAGATTTTCACTAAAGCAACAAGAGGAATATATTTGATGGCATTCAGGTCTGTAATATTTGTTTTTTCTTGTTGGTGACTTTAAAGTTGTTATAAAAAAATGCATTAATCTATTTGATGGTTCCTGACTATAGTCCATGTGTACTTTTTATCTTTAATTCATGTAATTTAGAGGCCTCTGAAGACTTTCGCAAAACGATCAGGTGATGTCTACATCCCTTGTGGTGTATCTGTCCCAACACTTGACAAGGACATCCTTTGGGAATTTCAACCCAAAAATCTCTTGATAAAGTGGAGTTGTCTTGACAATGAATTTTTACAAAAGTATTTTTTTTAATGCTCAAGGCTGTAAATCTCTTGATTTGTCTTGATTTAATGTTAAGTGTGCATAAATGTTAGAACCATTTCGGAAAAAATGTTATTTTTTCATGTTATAGGGAGTGTGGTGATGGTTTCTTTTCCGATGCTGAATATGATACATTATGAACCCTGACTAATATGTATGTATGTATGTATGTATGTATACACACACATATGTAGATATATGCAATTACATTGTTCTTTTTAAGTTTCAAAATGCAGTATGTCTTTTTTTATTCTTCTTTTATCTAATCCCCATACTTGTGTTTATTTGTTTATATAGGTCTCAAGACAACAATCACAATTGAGGGTTGTAAAGAACTTGTATACCAGTACAATACTTATCAAAAGGTTGGAGATGATGCAGGTAGTATACAATACTTATCAAAAGGTTGGAGATGA